GTAGTTCGAGTACGGAGACAGGCGAATCGGTTACCGATATCGAGTGTATTGCCGCCGATGGCTTCGTTCTTCCGCCCTATTTTGTCCTTAAGGGTAAGAACCATCTTGAACGGTGGTACGACAGTCCTCGTATTCCAGACGATTACCGGATCAATACCTCAACCTCTGGCTGGTCAAACGATCTAATTGCCTTCGATTGGATTCAACATTTCCACCGGCATACGCAGCACCGCGTTACCCTATGCGGGAAACGGCTTTTCTTATGGATAACCATGGGTCCATCTTACGAACGATTTCATCGAATTTTGCCATGCCGTTGATATTATTCCCTTCCTCGATGAGATGCCTCAGATTCGCGAAAACGCCCTCAAACCACGTACGGTTCGAAATTCCTTTAAAGAGAGGGGTCTTTGGCTGATAGATCCCGAGAAGATTATACCAATAACGTATTCCACAAGCGAGTGGCCCATACAAGCGAGTGGCCCAGCTCATTTTACTAGTAAATTCGACAAAATTCGATATCAATATCTCAACAACCACTGGATAATATAGTCTGAAAACTTAGAGTTAGGTTTTCCTAGCCATTTCTAGCTTACTATTGAAATATTAAAGCCCTAGCTTTTACAGGTATAGAGATACCTACTTCTTGGCAAGATTTAGAGACCAAATCTCTATATCTTTATAACTATAAAAGATAAAGCTCTAAGATTCTAATAATAAGCTAGAAATCGATAGGAAAACCTAATTCTAAGTTTTCAGACTATATTACCCAGTGGTTGTTGAGATATTGATATCGAATTTTGTCGAATTTACTAGTAAAATGAGCTGGGCCACTCGCTTGTATGGGCCACTCGCTTGTGGAATACGTTACTTCATAATCAGATGGATGACGGCCCTGATCTTCAAATATACAATGGGTCTTCTTCTCCACCAACCTCAAGTATTACGCCCCCTCCAAGCGTATCTCCACCCAATACTATTCGAACGGCACGCCGGAGACAGATGAAGATCGTAAATACGCCCGAGGCCCTACTTTCGAGCCGGAAGTACCAACGTCGCATCCGCCAAGCGACCCAGGCCAATATCCGGGCGGTTGAGCTCCTGGAGGAGCTTCAGGTCGTAGTTTCGGATATCCAGCGCCGCCAAAAGCAAGGAAAAAAGCCAAAGACCCGGCGGCATGTAAAAATGCGCCTTAGCCAGACGGGTGCCTTGGATGTCCGGCAGGCGAAGAGACATATCGATGCGCAGGGTGAGGAGGAGCGAAAGGCCAAGATTAGGAAGGCACAGCGGGTATGGGGCCGGGAAAAAGAGAAGGGAGCATCTCCCATACAGGAATTACCCGTGGAGAAGGAGAATGTGGGTTTTAATTTTAATGCGTTGCCAGAATTCGAGCAATACGTCTTTGATATTGAAATTGAAAATATGGTTTATAATGAAAATATCGTATTCGGTGTGGGTGGGGTCCAAGGACCACGGATACAGCTTTGGTGATGAAACAGAGTCTCGAGGCTATCGACCGCCTGTGACGGGGACCCTCCCGGCTGCATGCGCCTTAACGGCCGCCTCAGCTGGGCAACCCCCGCCTACGTTAGGTCTTTCTCCACCAGTTCTAGCATCCCCCCCGCCAATTTTGGGCACCGCCACACCCGTTAGCCCCCCAATCGCCAATTTTGGCAACCCCCTCCCTATGCTTAATACTCCCCCCCTACCAGGGCCTCCGCCACGAGTAGTAGCCGCCCCCGTCACGGGCGGTCCGCGTGCTAGAGATCCTGCTTACTGTAATATGCCAGGCTAAACCGTATATAGATCTCCCTATTCCGTACTTGAACATACTTGGCTGTCTGTGCACTGCACTATGGCACCATAGAACCATACTGCCGGTAACGAACAATGTTAGCGTTGAACACTATAAAAAGTCCCCACAACCCCCCTCCCAGTCAAGTAACCCACAGTCTCCACACCGCCCATCTCTTCACGGCTCGCTCCGCCTTAGCATTTTAGCAATGGCCGATACTCTTCCCGCAATCGAAGTGGATAGTAATGCTGGATCCTTCGTTAGCGACTCTGCCTTCGAGGACGGCACCTCGACTGCTAGTGCCTCGCTCGCCTCCTCCGTAATCGACTACGTCTACGAGAACGGCCGCCGCTACCACGCTTATCGCAAGGGCCAGTACGTGCTACCCAACGATCCAGAGGAGCAGGATCGCCTCGACCTAGGTCACCATCTGTTCCGTCTGCTTCTCGGTGGCAAGCTCTTTCAGGCGCCTATTGACCCCGAGAACAAGCGCGTGCTAGACATTGGCACTGGCACCGGCATCTGGGCGATTGACGTCGGCGATGAGTACCCCAACGCCCAGGTGATCGGTACCGACCTCAGCCCTATCCAGCCTACCTGGATCCCGCCCAACGTAAGGTTCTACGTCGACGATGCGGAGAGCGACTGGGTCTATCCGGCTGATGAGGCCTTCGACCTGATCCACGGCCGCGGCCTCAGCGGTGCCATCGGGGACTGGGACAGACTCATCCGTCAGTCCTTCAACAACCTCAAGCCTGGCGGGTGGCTGGAGTTTCATGAGGCCGAGGCGCAGGCACAGTCCGACGACGACACGGTCGAGCGCGCGGTTAGTACTATGGAGTTCGTCCGCCTATGTAACGACGCTGCTAGACAATTTGGGAGGGAGGTGAGCTGTGCCCACCTCATCAAGGACCGCATGATCAACGCCGGCTTCGTCGACGTTACGTGTGAGATGATGAAGGTACGCGTTATGTCATGGAATTTTTGTCATCTCTCTCCTGCTATCTCCTACACATTCAGCTAATCCGGGTAGGTTCCCATCGGCGTCTGGTCAAAGAGCAAAAGGCTCAAGGAGATTGGCCGCTTTCAGGGCGAGAACTGCATTTCTGGCGTCGAGCCATACACCCTTGGTTTCATCGGCAAAGGGCTCGGCTGGACCGAATTGGAATGCAAGGTCTTCGTTGCAAAGGTCATCGCAGAGCTTCGGGATCCCAAAAATCACTTCTACAGCCTGTTCTACTTTGTCCATGGCAAGAAGCCGGAGTAGAAGAACCCTGGGTTAGTGTTACGGTCTTATTGGATATCAAAACTGCCTATCTCCTTGGCCGCTGAAGGGACTGAAGAAACTGCCATAGAAGATCTGTGATTGTTGATTCATGGACGGCCTCATTTCCTATCCCGACTTCTCCAGCCAGTCCTTTCCCCCTTTTCGTTTCCTGATTCATATTAGGGCTATCTCCCTTTCCGTACCTGTTTCGTATATACATTGATTGGTTGGTCTCGGCGCTAAGCTAGGATTCATGTCCATAATGTTCCGATTTGGCTAATTGACACACTGCGATCCGAAAGTAGAATTGAACTGATTCACTGCATGGCGCATTCACACTCCACAGACTCAAAGTCGAGTCAGGGTCATGCTGTAGTTAATTCGGGTACGGTTCGCCGCATGGGGAACGAAGCTTGCGGCCAAATGGTAGGCTTGCAAAATCTACGCTAAGTCTCGGATGGGGTCATATCCAGGTAACCGAGCACACCTAGTGCGACATGTGGTGCTCATTGCTAGTATTCTCTTGGAAGCCAACCATTCGTTGAGGACGTCCAAGGAAATGCTGCTAAGCAGGATGCTTGGGAGGCGGGGCAGGGTACGTACGGACTACAGAAGATTAATAAGAGAAGTAGTATTCCGTACATGTACGTATTCCAAAAGACTGTTGGATTTCTTAGCAGCTCATCAGAGCGGATTCATCTTGATGATGGGAGTAAAATGACGGAACTATTGGATCGCATTCCGCGGCCGAGCAGTTTGGTGTTGGTCGGGGTTGCTACGGTACGTTCTATTAGGTCCTTTCAGTGAACAGTTCGACTCTGGACAATGAATAGAAGCATTATCATTCCTTCTGTCCTTCCACTTCTTTAGTAACGAGATATGGCAGGGCTTGTTTTACTACATTGGTCTCTTCGTGTACAATGCGTACCTCCATCCCCTTGCAAAGTTTCCCGGTCCGAAGCTTCGAAGCGCGACGCCCTTTCCAAACCTGTATGCGGCTCTCCATGGCGACCAGCAGTTTGACTACGCCGCGCTGCACGGGAAGTATGGACCTGTTGTGCGCATTGGCCCGGACGCGTTGAGCTACATCACGGGAGGTGCCTGGCGAGAGATATACGGGCACCGGCCCGGTAAGACGCACAGCCAGATGCCGAAGGTGAGCACCATATATGCGCCATGGTGGCTGTAGTTTATATCTGGGACCCCGACTGACCCTCTCAGGATCCCGTGCAATATGCCTCGCAGCCCGGACGAGCGTGGAGCATCATTAATGCGCCTACCATCCCAATCCATTCGAAAATCCGACGTCTGCTGAACCCGTCGTTCAGCGAGAAGAGTCTCCGTGGCCAGGAACCGCTTATCACACGCTATGTCGACCTGCTTATTGACCGCCTTAAAGATCGCGTCGGCCAGAAATCCACCAATCTGACCGACTGGATGAACTTCATCACTTTCGACGTGATCGGCGACCTCGCGTACGGCGAGCCCTTCGGCTGCCTCGAAAACGTCCAGATGCACCCCTGGATCCAGCTGACATTCGACTTCCTCAAAACCTTCGTCTACGTTCAGGTGCTGCGCTTCATCCCAGGCGCTCTCGACCTAATGAACGTCTTGATACCCCCAAAGATGCGGAGGAGCCGGGACTATCATTGGGCGCTGACGGCGGCTAAGGTCCAGAAGCGTATAGCGATGGAAACGCAGCGGCCGGATTTCATGGGCCATATTATTGCGACGATGAAAGACGGGGATGGGCTGTCGGTTAAAGAGATGGAGGCGACTTCGGAAGTGTTAATCGTTGCCGGTAGCGAGACGACCGCAACGTTACTGACAGGGTGCTTTTACTATCTGCTAAAGACACCGCGTGCGTATCGGCGGCTGGTCGAAGAGATTCGCGGGACGTTTAAGGAGGAGAAGGAGATCGGATATGACCGTGTTAATAAGTGCCGATATCTGCTCGCGGTCTTGGACGAGGCGCTGCGCATCTATCCGCCGGTTCCGACGTCGATGCAGCGAGTCGTCCCAGGCGCCGGCGATTATATCGAAGGGCAATGGGTTCCGGGCGGCACTCTGGTCAGCGTCGCGCCCTGGTGCGTTCTGAATCCCCTTTGGTTCCCATCCGCTCTTCCTTTCTTTTCCATGGCTTCGTCTAACTGACATGACTGGTCGACAGGGCCGCATACCACTCCGACCGAAATTTCCGGGACCCGGACGATTTTGTACCGGAGCGGTTTCTCGGGGATGAGAAATATAAAGACGATCGCTTCGATGTACTGCAGCCGTTTAGCTATGGGCCGCGGAACTGTATCGGGCAAAAGTAAGTCGTTTTTCTGGTTTCCATAGTGCTATTTCTGGACGACGCCAACAAACAAGGGGCTCTCTGGTCACGTCTGCATCCAATCCGCGTTTTCCACTTCCAATGTGAATCTCCTCCGAATGAATCTGACCGCGTTTCTAGTCTTGCATATCTCGAGATGAAGCTGATCCTCGCCCGCATGATCTGGAACTTCGACCTCACGCTGCTTCCAGAGAGCGAACTGTGGAACCAGCAGAAGGTCTACTTCCTGTGGATGAAGCCGCCACTGTATGTGAAGTTGTCGCTAGTCGAACGGGACGGCACGACCAGTGGTTAGCATAAGACATGACGCAGGTGAGGAGGAGGATATTTCTCATAAGTAGATATGTACCATAGTGTGTGCAATATATTGGCTCCACTGTGGATTCCTGTACGCCGCGGCTGGTAGTTTCTTAAAACTGAGGAATGCTTCTACTGAAACGAAATTGTCGAGCAACCCCATATGGGACTGCCATCCATGCCCCTAATATATCAGTCTTATCAGGACTCCACCCACGGAGTGATGAGACGGCCGGGAATCACTGTATTATTTGTTTATACCCCCTTAGAGGAGAAAGTTGAGACTACGATACCGAACACGTAGACGCCTGGTTGCCATCCTATTCCAGCTGCTGCAAAGAAGCCTCCACGTCCTCTGTCTTGTTACTGCCCGTATTAGGCAAGCGACCGGCGAGTAAAACCATCGTGCCAACGGCTGCCCAAACAGCGACCAGACAGAGAGAAACCCTTCGAGGCCACGTTCCGAATACATAAGGGAAGATGTCATTCCATACCGCGGCATGGAATACGCCATGGAGAATCGCAATGAAATTGCAAACTAGATGGTTTTTCCAACCGGCCTGATGCCTCCGCGAGCTGCTTGAGAATGTGCTCTCTATTCTGGGAGTGAGATAGGAGGGTGGAACACTTTCCCTTCCAACGACGCGAACTAGTTCGCTAGATATTAGATTAATCGTCTCAAAGCCTGGGCCGGAAAGGGTACGTACCAAGCCCAGTTGACTCGGTCTTAGCTATTACACCGGTACCCAAAGAAATCGAAGATGGTTTCTCGATCTCTAGCTCTAGTTGTGCCCCCAGGTCGCTGCACGCCTGTTGAGTTCGATTCACTTCCTCCAGAACTGACTGTTTCTCATTTCTTAGCTCGACTTCCGGTTTTCTCCACGTCATGATTTCAAGCCCTCTCGTTTGCGATATTACAAACTTGGTGCTCGGCTGAGAAACACATCCATAGCAAGAGGTCCGCACTTAGTCTTTTGGGAGGGGGAAGCTGGAGAGGAGTAGTCAATCGCTGGATGTCTGTTGTTACTTGTTAGGGCCAACGCGAACAACTGTGGGCGGGAAACCCGGTGGAAGAAACCGAACTCCGAGGAATAAATAACATGAACATTGAGCTGGACAAAACTGCTATGAATCAAATGAAACTTTTGAGGCGGAAACAAGTAGGTACGTGCCCATACAGCCTGCAGGTGTCAATCGCTGCTGGCATAGTTGGGTCATCTCCGCGACAGAGGATTAGGACCTTGTAGATTTCTTGACAGAAAGAGGGCAGGATTCCCCCGACACACATTTGATGAGAAGGAGAACTGAAAGATGAGCTTCATCACGGTGCTTAGGGGGCGAACGACCAGGACCGGGACCGTATGGTTCCAGGAGATTCTCAGACATATGTTACCTAGCCCGCTCAGTCTTATCTACAAATGGTATCCAATCACGCTAAATACCAGACCATCTGTACGAATCATCTCAAACTTTCCCAAACCATTTCCATCATGTTCCCTCATAAGCACCCACCCTCTCCCCATCGCTTTTTTCAACGTCCCAACTCATCTCCCCCTTCCTCCGCACATCCATACTCTTGCCCCTCCTCCCTACCTCCACACTCTTCCCCCTTCTCCCAAAATCCAAACTCTTTCCCCGCCTCTCCACATCCATACTCTCCCCCCTCCTCCTCTCCTTTTCCTTCTTCTTCTCAATCACCTTCACCGCCTCCCCCGTCAACTTCTGCCGCTTCAGTAGCTCCCGCACGTCCTTCTTCCGCGTTTTCCGATCCCCTATGGAGATCAGCACCCCCGCCGTGATGTTGCACGCGATGCTGAAGCAGAGGATCACCGTGGTGATCGCGACCGGCCGCACTTTGTAGTAGATCCCCCACGTGCAGGCGCCGAGCGAGATTTGGAGGAGGGAGTGGCAGTCGAGAAGGACGACGATTGCGATGAGGTAGCGGAGCGGGAACGCGTAGTGCGTGGGTGTTTCGTGCGGCTTGTAGAACGTGTGGGAGCGCGCGAACTTTTTCTGGTGGTGTGAGAGCCGCTGCTGTTCTTTAGGTGTGAGCACTGTGTATTCCCACGACGACAGGTCGGTTTTAATGGACGCCGCGTCGTTTTCGACGTCGGTGTCAGAGTCGCGGCGCGGCGTGGATTCGGCTTCCTCGACGGGCTTCTCACGCTCGTCGCAGTGGCGTTGCTCCTTGAACTTCTGGTCGGCGATAGCGGCATCGTCGTTCGGGTCGATGGGTTTGGGTTCGGGCTTCGGCTCGCCGATCTGCCGGGTGGGGAAATCGTTTTTGTTTTTAAGCTCGGGGAGCCCGCGCTTGTTCCGTAGCTCCCATGTTTTGTGGCCGTATTTGGCGATGAAGATCATGTGGTAAGTGTCGACGGCGCGGAAGGGCGCGAGGCCATCGCCGACTACGGCGAAGAGCGCGACGAGCACGCTGTCGATGATGTGGACGACGTAGAGTTGGCGATCGCCAAGGTAGATCCAACCGATTAAGAAGAGCACCCATGCGAGTCCAAAGAGGGTGATGAGCGTCGCATACAGCGTGACGAGGAACCCCAGTGGCCGTTTAACATATTGGCCGAATCCTTTCATCGACCGCTTGAGTCTTGATCGTCGTGAATGCAGCATGTGTCTCACGTGGTCGTTCAGTTCCTCCTTCTCGCCAGGACCCCAGCCGTCGAGCGACATGCCGTGGGGAAGGACAGCATACCGCGAGTCCGTGAGTGTCGAGCTGATGGTATCGCGGGTCTGTGTCCGTTCGGCGGTTGTCATTTTTGAGATATCTTCTGTCGATATTGTCGGTAGACCCTCGGGTTCTGGTTCCTGGTAAGGAGGCCCCGGGGCCGGCCGAGTGACGGTATATGTTGGTCTTCGATTAAGCCAGCCACCCAAATCGGGAACGAAAAGGGAGTTTTGCACGTTTGTAAGCGTGGTCAAGGTGGACACCTCCGGATCTGAATGTTTAGTTAATCTTGGGTATGATCAGGGATTTCGAACCGTGCTCATACCAACAACGTCAAGGTAATCGACGATCTCGGGCCCATACTCGCCAAGTTGCACACTATTCTCATTTACCGCATTATCCGGGTAATCAACCTGTGGTCTCCGATTGAACCCCCCGAAAAACCCTCGCGTCGCGCTCCGAATACCCCCCCAATGTTGATTTGCATGGCGAGCGGCATGGAGATTCTCAGGCGGGATTCCCTCCCGTTGTGCCCAATCGTCCTGAAAATCGGGGGCCGTCTGCGTTCGATGTATCCCATACTCGGGCACATAGGCAGGATGAGGCTGCGAGGTATGTGGTTCTTCTTCGCGCAGGCACTCCATCGCAGGCGCAATGTTCCGAGGACCCCCAATTAGCTCCATCGACGGCCGCTGTGGCTCCGACCGACTTCTTATTCGACCGCCGCTTCCATCGCTGGGTATGTGCTCCAGTTGCGCAACCGATTGAGCCGGCGTCTGTGCGGTGTTGGAAGGCTGTCGGTTCAAGCTTGCTCCGGATTCCATGCGTCGGATTCGGATACTTGGTCGGCGACTTCGCTGTGGACGAGCGGGTTCGGGTTGAAGGAGATTCGACTGAGGAACGGTGGCGAAATCGCGAGAGTGAGGAGGTGGTCGCAGGGCGTGGGAGTCGACTTGCGGAGGGGTCTGCTGAGCAGACGGCATGGGTGAGACATGCTGCGATGGGGTGTTGCGTGACGGCGACGTCGTAGATGTCGGGTCGTCATGGTATATCTGGGTGACAGTCCCATCAGGGCCGGTAGTTGTCGTGGTTGAGGGAGAAAAGGTCGTGGTCTGCACTTCGTCCGGGTGGTTGGGGTCAGAGTTGACCTGATGTGTAGGATTCATCTTGGAAACTCGAGTCGGTCGCTCCGTACAGGATCCTCGGGTGTATTAATCCGTCAAATTGACATTAAGACTCAACTGACAACTTGTAACCAAAAGCGACACTTTCCTATACGGCGTGAATACGCCAGGTGAAGGCAAATAAGGAGTAAAATAGAAATTAGATATCATATCGTGAGTATGTAGGGACGAACAAGTAATAATCTGGGTTCCTTACGGTGATGACCTCGTTGCTTAGCACCAGTTTACTCATCCCATCCTGGTCCTGGATATTAGTGAGGGTGGCCAATCGTGGCGTTGGCGTTTTCCCAGTGAAATCAGACCCTCTCCAGGAGTCCAGGGTCATCCAAACAGAACAGGGCAGGGCTGAAGATTATCTCCAAGGGACCCGACATCCCCGGCTGCCCCGGATGGATTCAGGGTTACTATCATTGCCGATTTGCATTAGTTGGAATCGAGGAGTTGTTCATCCGGTTTTTGGTGTACCATGACGGCATTAGATCGTCTTAGTTGTCACCTTTGTTGCCTGAAGACCTGCCAAGGCACAATTTTATAATATAAGGCACGTGATATTTCGTCATTCCAATTGCTGCGATTCTACCTAGGGCAGTCCAAATGAGCGCATCTGGATTAAATGATGAATTACGGAGGAATCTCATAAAAGGTGGCGGTAATGGGCCCGTGCGTTGCTGACTCATCATGTAACCCGCCTTCTTTATGAAGAATTGAGGATTGAAGCTATGTATATACACGTCCATTCCTGCTATGGTTTGGTTATTTAAGTGATGTAAATGTTGATTACAAGACTATATACAGTTGGAGAGAGCTTTACGAATGGGTAGAATCCACAAATACCGATGTGAGTGCCTCAGGCACTCACATTTGGGTAATGCTATACCTAATTGGGCTAGTATTTATGAGAGCATTTATGAGCGCTAGGGCTAAATCGGGTTAGATTTCATGAAGACTTTATGAGAACGGCGTGCCCTAACCGCGCCACCGTGGAATCACATTCCGTGACTAAGTGTCTGGCTCCAGCCAGGGCGGAATCCATTCCGCGATATCAACAATTATCTGATGACTGATCTAGTTACATAGTAAGCAGCTTCAAAGCATCGCTTCTTAAATGTAGGGTTTGCAACATGATCACAATGAGCAGAGTTTTCTTCCTTCTCACCATCGACTCCGAGTCTATATAAGAACCACTCCATGTTCTCTCGCCGGCTTTTGCCCACCCTTTTCTGCATCATAGCAATCGCCATCTACAATCCATCCATCACGGCTCCACTAACCAAGAAAGCCGCCCAACTGGGTATCAATTTCCTCTCCGCATTCCGCAACCTTCCCAAACCAAACCTTATCAAAATCATCAACCCCTCCACCATGACATCCAAACCCACCCCCTCCGCCCCCTTCGTCGGCTTCCCCGTCATCCCCCCCAACCACACATGCACCCACACCCCCCGCACCCTCTCCCGCATCCTCCCCTCCCGCGACCAACCCGAAGGTGCCGGCGCCCGCGTCCGCCGCACCATTGGCACCCCCTCCCTCCGCAACCTCACCCCGTTCCTCATGCTCGACCACTTCCGCATCTCCGCCGACGCCGGGTTCCCCGATCACCCGCACCGCGGCCAAGAAACCATCACCTACCTCATCTCCGGTGGTGTCGACCACGAGGACTTTGCGGGGAACAGGGGGCGGTTGGAGCCAGGGGATCTGCAGTTCATGACGGCGGGGAGGGGCATCGTGCATGCGGAGATGCCGGCGAAGGAGGAGAATGAGGGGATGCAGCTGTGGGTGGATTTGCCGGAGGAATTGAAGGGGTGTGAGCCGCGGTATCGCGATTTAAGAGCGGCGGAGGTGCCGCGAGTGGAGGCGGATGGGGGGAGGGTGAAGGTGAAGGTGATTAGTGGGCGGAGTTACGGGACGGAGAGCGCGAAGGAGTTGGCGTATACGCCAGTGTGGTTCCTCGATGTGGAGATGCAGGCGGGCGCGAAGTTCGAGCAGGAGGTGCCGGATGGGTGGACGGCGTTTGTGTATCTGATGGACGGAGCGGCGAAGTTCGGCGCGGATACGGAGGGGAGGGAGGTCAAGAAGTTCGATATTGCGGTGTTCAAGCCGGAGGGAGATGAGATCCTGGCGAGCACGGCGGAGGGCGAGACGGCGAGGTTCATCGTGGTGGCAGGCATGCCGCTCGATCAGCCGATCGTGCAATACGGGCCGTTCGTCGTCACATCGCGGGAGGAGGTGTATCAGGCGATGGAGGATTATCAGTCGCACGCCAATGGGTTTGAGAGGGCGAAAAATTGGGGAAGCGAGATTGGGAAGCGCATGGAGCACTGATTCCGCCAGGCCGGCGAACACTGGGAACACTGGGACTTCGGCTTAGTGTGAGAGATCTTTATCGCCAGATGAATCACGGCCATTTTCTAGATATGCTTATACTTGTTCCTGTATATATATGTACTAGATTGTAATAGACTCTGTCCTCTCAATTTGGATGATATTTTGAATTGCTATCTGCCTTGGTAGTTCACATTGTGTGTAACCGTTCGCTGCGGCTCTTTTCCACATCCTGTAACAGCCTCACTGAACTGCGATTCACTGAAATCCGTGCAGTTCACGGAGACCTAGAAAAGGCCTTTCCCGATGCCAATAATCTTTCGTATCCATGCTCCCCCTATATACTTCGCGTTTTCATCGATCTACCCGTCGTCAGCATCTATACTGACTAATAGACCCCGACCACCTATAAACCACTCCATGCTCGAGATCATGCTCTAGTTACTGTTTCGAACCCATCTGCGACGTAGCGGTCTCTTGAAGAACCGTATTGATAACGTCCGCCATCTGGTTCGACCGATCCTTCAGCAGCACCACTTTCCCTTTCTCCTCCACAAGCGTCTTCGACAACCCCCCTAGCGACTCAGCGCGAACCGTGGAATGCTCGCTGACCTTGCGGAACACCCTCTCGGCGGTCCGCAATGTTTCTTTCAACTTGTCCAAGTCCTCCTGTAGCTCGTCAAGTTCCCAGGCCCTCTCGCCGAGCTCTCTGCGCAGCTGCCCAGCTTCCTCGCTCGTTAGGCCGGTTTCCTTCTCATTGTTGAGCTCGGCTGTGAGCTTATTGACCGTGTGTTCGACATTCTGGCGTCGGATCCTCTCCTCGTTCAGGTTCCGTGCTAGGTCTTGGTACTCCTTAGAGTCGATCGGCGCAGGGTTCGGCCTCTCCGTCGCTAGGGTGAGGCTCTCTTTAAGGGCAGAGAGTTCCTGCTTTAGGTTCGTGTTTTCTTCCCAGAAGGAAGTAAGCTGCTCTCGAAGATTGTTCTCCACATGGCCAAGTGCGGACTGATGGGTAATACAACCATTCAGCTATTAGATAGTCAGCGTGCTGCATCTTATAAAATGACAAGGCCCATACTACCTGGTTTGTAACCTTCTTGATCTCCCCTTCTAGATCCTCGTTGTCCTCTATCAACTTGGATTTCTCCTGATCGAGGTCCTCGATTAAGTCGCGCAAATGCGCAGCGTCCGCAAACTCACGTTTAGCGTAAGCTCTGTACCTTTCGTCCGCACCCTCGCTGAGTTCCTTTAGGTGATCCCTTTCCATGATTAGATCCGCACACTTCTGCGCCAGTTGCTCACCCGCTTCTTCGACCAGGTCGAGGGAGCGTTTGAGCTGGTCGTTCTCCCGTTTAGCCGTCTCGTGCGCGAGAACTATGCTGAATAGATCAGCCATTCGAATGTCTTTCATCTTTTCAACTGCTTTAGCTCTGGGGGTGTTCCCTTCCGCACCAGCAGTATTTGTTATGCTGCGAGGTACCAGGGCAGTGGAGAGCATCGGGTCAGCAGCAGCCGTGGATTTGTTGGTGGTGCCTTTATCAGTCCTGTCAGTAGTGTTCCTGTGATTGTGCCGAGGATATTGCAGTAAAGAAACCTGGAAACCTGACAATTCCATATATAAGTATTAAGTTAACATACCCTGTGGTTCCGCCAAACCATTAGAATTCGCACCATTAACATTTTCATTTCTAGGAGCCGTCTTATTCTTCTCGGATCCAGCGACTGGTTTAGGCACAAATTGCGCCGCCGTAGGGTTGAATGGAGGAGTGGATATGGAAGCTTTGCGCTGCGGAGGAGTTATATGAATCTTCTTCTGTTTGCTAGGTGTGTTCTCATTCCTAACAGTCAGATCTTCCGCAGGCTCAGCGAAGAAGTAAGACTTGCGTCGGACGCTACGCGAGGACCCTGACGCCTGTGATCCTCGTTGGTCTGACATGCTCCACACCTGGTGTTTGCCGTCCGCAGTGATCAGAAGGAACAGCGGTTAAGGAAGTTAAAGTGGTTGATAGAAGAGTCAAAAGCGATAGCGCTTGAACGAGATAGAATTAAGTGATAGTGCGGCGAGATTCAACGCTTAAAAGCGATGTGTGTAAGTGTGTGGCAGTGATGGGAAAAAGGAAAAGGAAGAAGTAATAGGAAGAGGTGATGGGAAGTAGCCATGTATAAATAATCAGGAAAATGAAATGTTTTGCTCAAAGTCTAGTGCGTTAACACAAATTAAAGGTGGAAATATTGGAGAGACGGTGTGAATCCGACCTTATCGAAGTAGTCATGGCTGATCGATCTTTCCATGATTTTAGACACCAGTAACTGTTAATCCCATCATATGCACACGATCACTTTCGTCTATTATTAGTCTTTCTCCATGTCTGCGCTTCATATGATGTTCTGCTTCGAATGGAGATCACCGTAATAAAACTTGTCAGGCCACGATTCTATTGGGGAGTCAGAAGTCACTATGGTTTTCATGAACAGTACAAAAATCCATGAAAATAGAAATACAGAACAGTCAAATGTAATCGGCATCATTTTCTAGCTCGGAATCACGAGGCAGCTAGGACTTACATTGACGCTGATATTTGGCATATCTCCGAGTTCTCTACCATAACTGCTGCTCTTGCGCCGTGTCCTTCCACAAGTAGCCAGAAACAGCCCTCAATGGCACATTCGACCCATCGCTCTCCTCCGAGCCGTCTCCTTTTCTCCCAACCCTGAACAGCCTAACCACCGGCTTGTTTATATCGCGCAAAGCCGCCGTACATAGCAATCTCGGGTCTCCTCGCGATTCGATAGCTACCTGCTGAGCTGCCACGGCTATCATATCCACATCTTTCCCGGATCCTAGCTCGATGAAGCTGATCGCTGGGTCGTTGTACGAGGCGATCTCGGGTCGAGTGAAGGCCGCGAGTGGAGACATGGTCATGACGGTCGGCGCACCCGCAAGGGCGGTTGGCGTTTCCGAGAGGTATTTAAATAGAGCTTGGACGGGCGCGGAGGCCATGTGTATGTCGTTTGCAGCTTGGCTGGCATATCTAACATGTGTGTCAGCAAGCGATTCGGACTCTGTTTCCAACTTTCCATGGACGCTCACTCTTCGATACAATAGATCTTTCGGTCGTCCGAAGGATCCCTAGGAACCGCGACGCAGTACTTCAATGCTCCTGGCTCCGTTGCTTTAGTGTTGCTCACGATCTTCGCAAGAAGATCAATGACGGCATCCCGATACTCTGTGCTCCTCGTTTCGAAGACGACAACAACGTATTGAGACCAGACTGCCATGTTTAACGACTCCTATTGTTCAGTTGACCGGCTTCGGAAGTCATGAATGCCAGCATTAGCATCCATGAAGTATTAGCCCGAGGCTTCGGCTGAAATCGCTGGGTTCATCGTCGATCGAAGATAGGCGCATCGTTGGTTGCGGTGCATATCTGGGAGCACGCCATTGACATACAAACCATAGTATAGATCTCTATCTTCACCATTCTCAAGAGCCCACTCTTGTCGGGTACTCTATGCCTCGAAAATCAGTTTCATGCACCGGCTTTGGACCTGTCAAGATAGGACTGAGGTTAAGGTTCACGTGATCCACAGTGTCGGGAGGCTAGCGGCATTCAACATAGAACTAGGGGCCAATTGGCGGTTTTCGTCAAACTTCGTTTCATTTTCATTTCCTCTTTTAGATTTTATCTCCATATTTCATGTACGGTACTACAACATTGTCTCGATATCATCGTGCTGGCTGGTTCATCGCTCGGCATTGATATTGACCAATTACCCAATCATCAAAATCAGATCAGATCGACTGAACGAATTTTAGTAACATTCCAGATTGCTCCTTTGCTCAAAACCAGACTCCCTGTCATCTCTTTTTTAGTTTCATTCTCAATCAGTTATAGGAGTCGTTTGCTATTGGTTGTAGTGACTTTCATAATCCAGAGTTCTTGACCTCGACATTTCCTTCCGTCAACCCCTCTATACCGAATAGAATTTGGCATTGGGGGAACGCCTACGGGGATGTAGCTCAAAATTTTCTCGTAATATTCAGATCTTCCATTTGTTTTTCCCCTACACCCGGGGCTGCTGCATCCTGGCGTTTTGACTTTTGCCTCTTCACCGCCCGGTCGGTGTACCACTGTACAATCAATTGCCTGATTGAACAAGCCTTGTGTTCACGATGCCTATCCTAGTTGCTTCGTTTCGGGTTCGCTGGCGGTGAGCGCTACATGAAGTAGAAGCTTGCCGATTGTACGGGTCAGCCTTTCACTCTACTTTAGAAGCCGAGACTATGAGCAATTCCAGTTTGAGTCGCACAATCTTGGCTCTCAATTGCAAACACTGTCCCTGTCCGTCTTAAGTCATAGCCGCTTCATAAATCCTTCTCCTCACTATGCAACAATAACCATTGAATTCACCCAGAGCACCGTGGATATCACCATCCCCACGTAACTATATACCATAACCTATGCCCGTTACTGCCAAAAAGCTTTCTATGGGACTTCCAGACATCTGTGTATAGCCTCGATACCATCTGGCGTTGCCATATGCAGGGCTACGCAACGAGCACCTGCTGCCCGTCGGACAACTTTTACACAGAGATGCGCGTTCTTGTCGAGCTACTATTCGCCTGGCGTATGACCAGGCCAGTATACGAGCTGCCCAACGCCAGGTGGCCGTACCACATCAAGCTCCAAACACTTGGACTAATATCTGGCGGTAAGAGACTTTCAACAGGCGCCATGGTGGGCATCGAAATTTGCGCGTTCCGCGCGCCCCTCTTCGCTATCGCCGGAGTGCTATTCTTTCCTTACAAGTATAAGAAGTTGAAGCAAAACCCTGCTCTCAGCGGACCCGAATCGGCGGTCATCCAGCCGAAATCAGCGACGGATGGCATACCAGAAACATCCCCACAGGATGCACCCACGATGACTCAGCATAAGCACGAAATGCCAATGAATCCTGAATGCGGAACGCCTGCGGTAAATTCAACGATGTCGCTTATGTTGAGTTTTGGGCCTAATAGGGTTGCACAGGAGAATGTGACCCCCATGAATTGCTAGCTGGAAGATATTGACTAATCCGCCCCGGATGGGGGGGTTATTTCGTGGTATAGCATGCTTCACGCCCACCCACAGCCTGCATGAAGAGGGAGTCACAGGACTACAGGACCAAAGGGAGTACCAGTACTAGTACCGGTCCGGTGTCCTAAGTAATATACGGTAGGGTCTAATGTCTTGTCAGTACGTAGTACAGCGCTGAACATGGTGCTATTACTGTTAGGATTGCAAAATGCCAATATGTTGGTACTCTACCAAAGTAAGCGAAGTTGATACCTACGGACCCTTTCCCCAGACCTTGTGTTCTTCTGGTTCCCTACCGAACTTGGCCTCATTGACTCATTCATAGGAACCATTTCTACCTTCACTTCCGGTAATCCATCGCTAACCTCCCAAACTATTGTATCGACACGCTGCGGTCTTTTGGTTACTTTCCCAGCCTCTAATCAGTATGGAGTCTATCTCAGGCCCCAGCCATAAATCGGACCTTTCGAGGCCTCGCAGTCACTCAACACTTACAGTGTCTTAACTGGAACAAATCAAAACAACTCACCACTGAATAATTCCCCCAGTGCACTTATCTGCCTCTTTCCTAAGGAGCAACCTCACTCCGCATTGAACTCAGGCGACCACGACTGCACAAGCAACTGCTGCCGCTCTAACAATAGCTTCTCCCCTAGCTGTACGTCCTTGATAAACCTTTATTCCCGAGTAACTTGCCAATATCTGAGACTAGACTACGACTCGGTAACTCCTCACGATGCAGACATCCACCGATAAACAGAATCAGCAGCCAAAGAGCTCTGGAATCAAAGAGATTCTCAAGAAATTGGTCGACACTCAACAGTCATCGCTCAAGGTTCTTGACCAGATGGAGGTGCGGGTTGGGCGTATCGAAGCGCAGGTTGGGCGGCTAAAAGCGCAGGTTGACCGTATTGAGGAAGAGCAGTCTGAGCAGAGGCATGCTCAGAATTGGCGAGATCGTGATGCGCAGATTGAGCGTAATGTCGATACACAGATGAGGCGTACTATGAATGCGCAAGTTAGCCGTATCAATGCGCAGGTTTGCCGTGTTGATGTGCAGGTTAGCCGTATTGGGCGTTCTGTTGAGTCTCTGAAGAGACAGAAATTGGAACTACCTCTTCGGGAAAGCCAGGATGTGAAGATGGATACGGAATTCAAGACACCGGATAAGGAGCCGAACGAGGAGATGGACGATGAAATGGACGAGAACCCCGATCCGCTTTGGGAGGTTGTGTGATGGATTATCATATACCAGTACCAGTAGTTATCTTAGTTTTAACTGGTCCTGCATAGGTTCAAACCATCAGAGAACACCGCCTGTACTGCTAGCAGCTAGTTCTACATCACTTCTTTAGTTCAGAATCGATATCCATCACTCTCTTTTACAATCTTGAATAGTTCAAGGAGCTTCTAACTTAGGTTTCCATCCAACCACATGGTTTCCAGATCCGGCACTGTCATGATACGTTAGTGGACCTTGTGGATATCACAGCCGTCTACTCGTACTAAACCATAGCATCTGACATTCCTACACCACAGCCAACCCGACTTAATAACCCTTCATATCGCTAGTCTGCCTCAGCACATAGCCGTTGCCGAGTAGTTATGGACGCCTTTTGCCGTAAATTGCCGGGTGCTGTTGTTGGTGATTTCGGGGTGGCTTGGAGGAATTCCAGTGGTATTAGCCTAAGGTGTCATGCTACTTCTTGGAGTCGCCATCTCAGGGTAGTCATCATACCTCGATGAATCTGTTGTTGTAGAACTCGGATTGGAAGCCTCAGAATAGATGCAGTACAATCGCGGGTTGACAGCTCCGCGTAGTTGGTATGTCCTCGTGCAGTTGGGACTGTAGGGTTGGATGCGGCCGTAATTCAAATGGGAAAGGATTTCATACGGCGAAATTGACTTACTAAACGCCATTGCACTAGGACAAATTTACCCCAAAAAATGAGTTTCCTTGAACTAGGAAGAAATGAAGGTCAACTCAGAGAAACGATAGTTCAGTGAAAGAGATATTTAAGCAGGACTGGGACAATCCGGCACTGGCAACTTCAGCTCTAGATATATGCAAGACTTGAACAACATAGAAAGTATAAAATCTTCAGTTACAACGCAATGAAATGGGGACCAGATAAAGCAGTAAAGGCGTTCAAAGAGAATCATGCCGCTATTGGCTTTGGCGTTCGCGTTGTTGCGAGGTTTGTTCCGATAAGAAACAGTCATTCAGAGAGGAGCTGGTACAATGCCCGGATATCAAGCATTTTGCTATAAGGCAATATCCACCTGCCGTCCAATATACCAGAACAATGAAGATACTGATGATATTGAAGTCGAGCAGGCTGAATCCCGCCCCTTTTTCCCCTATCTCGCCCAGCCGCCATTACTAAGCTGGGTCACCTTCTCCCTCGGTCCGCACTAACTTTGCATTCATGTTTTTCATCATTCCAAGCCACGCATGTAGACAGTGACAAACTGACAATTGGTAAGGACAGGTGCGTGTGGTATGTTGATATCTTGATACACATCAATGACATCAGCATATCAGATCATTTCCCCTTCAATTCAATGATGACGTTCAATAAGCAGCGATCCCAACCCCTCTTCCCCGCGGTTACGGCTGCAGGTAAACTCGGGTTTGTGTTGCATATGTATACGAGTTACCAGTTCAGATATTCTCCTAAGAACAGTCCTTTAATACTACATCCAAGTCAATCCATAACAAGCCCAAGTCCATCATCTCCTTCTATTCAATCCAACCAAGTCTCCCCCAGCCGTCAGGATGTCCACCCCTCACACCCTCATCACCGGCGCCACCGGACTCGTCGGCCGCGCCCTCACCGAACACTTCTCCAATCTCCCCTCCCACCCCACCACCTCTCTCTCCCGCCGTCCCCCCTTCCACCCCTCCACCACATGGCATCCTTGCGACCTCACCTCCCCCCCCTCCATCATCGCAGCCCTCTCCGCCATCCCCCCGTCCCAGCCCCCCATCACCCACCTCGTCTTCGCCGCCCTCCACGAAGAGCCCTCCCTCGCCGCCGGCTGGCTCCAGCAAACCCACGTCGACCGCAACGCGCTCATGCTGCAGAACACCGTGGAGGCGGTGGCGAAGGTGAGCGGGGCGCTGGAGCGCGTGACGATCTTGCAGGGGCCGAAGGCATATGGGGTGCATGTGGGGGCGGTACGGCCGGGGTCGCGGGAGGACCGCGATGAGGAGCGGGGGGTGGTGAATTTTTATTGGGCGCAGCAGGATTGGTTGGCGGAGTTTTGCGAGCTGGAGGGGAGGCGGCGGGGGAGGGAGTTGTGCTATACGGTGCTGAGGCCGGCGTTGGTGATTGGGGAGGCGGTGGGGGGCGCGATGAATTTGTTGGCGGTGTTGGGGGTGTATGCGGCGATTTTGCGGGGGAGGGGGGAGAGGTTGCATTATCCGGGGGGAGGAGAGGGGATGGTGGAGGCGACAGATACGGATTTGATGGCGAGGTGTTGTGAGTGGATTGGGAAGGGGAGGGTGGTGGGAGGGGATCGAAAGGAGGTGCCGATGGGGAATCAGACGTATAATCTGACGAACGGCGAGTTCTTCTCGATGAGGCATGAGTGGGCGTTCATTGCGCAGTGCTTCGGGATGGAGGTGGGGGAGGATAGGGATATCACTTTTGCAGAGGCAATTCAGACGCAGGAGTGGAAAGATGAGTGGGACAGCATTCGTAAAGACCATGGTCTCATCAGTCCCGGAATTGAGGAGTTCTTGGGTCAGAGCGGCCAGTTTGCGGACTTTATATTTGGCAGGACTGCCGGCACATCCAGTGCAATGAGTTGCATCAAGGTACGAAGGGCAGGATTCGATGAGTATATGTATTCGGATGACATGCTGTCCAAATGGTTCAAGAGATATCAGGACGACAAGCTTCTACCTCAATTCACAACAGGGACTGGTCAGACGAAAAGCTGTATCTAAGGTATAGCGAATCTTCAGGAATAAGAATAATAATATTGTTTTTCGTCATGCTCGAGTCAGGTTGTAGGACCCGCCAGAGTGACATAAGAACATAGTAGAGTGATTCTACACTAGTCAGTCATACATATAAGACTGTCAAAGAGTGCTTGCCGCCGCCCATAATCCGAAGGCCCTGATGAAGGACCCATCCGTACCACCCCGAACGCCATTGCACACCGCTTTATATACACCGTCACCGAATTCAACGGCAGATCCCTGATCCTTGCCATCGTCAGCTCTAGTCGGCGGTAAAGCGTCTCGCAAACTCCTTGATTATCCGAGGAGTAATTTCATCACTGCTGTTCCCCTCCACGGTCCATAGCACGCCCATCCGGTCGTAGTGCTCCAACAACGGAAGGCTCAACTTCTCAAAGCTCTTCAGTCGAGCGTTCCAGATTTCTGGATTGTCGTCATCGCGGCGCGTCAGCGGCTCGCCGGTGATATCATCCCTCCCAGGGACTTTCGGAGCGTTGAACGTGGTGTTGTAGACCCGACCCGACGGCGCATGGACCCATCGACTGCTGATCCGTTCGATGACGATCTCCGGGGGCGTATAGATGTTGACGACGAGGTTGATCGGGATCAGATCGTCGACCTGTCGAGCTTGGCCGGCGGTCCGGGGGAAGCCATCGAGGATGAAAGACGCCGAGGGGGAGTCGGAGAAGCGGAACGATTCCGTTCCCATGGAGGAGAGGAAGTCTTCTTCCAAGCTGTCACCGGAGGGGAATGCTTCGGTTGAGGCGGAGGAGTTGAGGGTGTAGGGCATGATGTTCTCTTGCTCCAACCAACCGCGGCTCTTGAGCTCATTGATGATGAGTCGTAGGATCATGGAATCGGGTACTAGAGCGCCGGATTTCATCTTGGATTCGGCCGCGATACCTGCGATTGGTCAGCTCTTTTGCTTCCTCTGCGCTCAACATCTCCTGGAAGTCATACCCAATGGTGTCCGATTTCGTACATTGTCTCGCAACAAGTCTCCTGAGCTTATCGCCGACAGTTGCGGGAAGCGCTTCATCAATCGCTCTGTCTGCGTTCCTTTCCCGACGCCCGGCGCTCCCACAAGGATCACACGTGCAGCACGTCGCAATGTCATGGTTGTAATCCGTCTATATCGAAATCTTAAGTCCACGAAAGCCGTCCAGTCGAATCCGAACGCTCGGGGTCCCCGCAATCGCGAGCTTACCAGATCAACGGAACTTCATGGTGATACGAATACAGGAAGGACTCTGACAAGTTTTCAGATGGAAACGTGAAGGTACCGAGGGTCCGAGGCTGGAAAGAATAGAAATCAAATGGGACCGGGGAATGAAGGAAGAGGAAAATGGATGATCAGGTCCAGATGGGTTGGAAATCCAGACTTCATACCCCATTGATCATCGGGGGGAATGTCCGGAGAACGGAGCGGGGATTTGCGGGAGGTTTGCCCGGCCCCGGTCCGTGTCTGCATGTGTGACGCCTCCACGTGCAGCACAGCAGCAGCGTGCAGTGCTGGTGAGGCGTTGAGGCGTTAAGGCATCAGAGTATCCAGCCGAAAAACGTTACCTCAGGCTCTCAGGCCCTTCGGTAGGACGCCAAGGCGCTAACCCAAAATGGGTCACCCACACGAAGGGCCTGGGCCAAATTTGAAAACTTTTGGCGGCGTTGACGTTCGTGGCATGCAAATTGCCCCTCCAAGCTCATCTCCGAACTCGTCTCGAAATCGACATCAAAACACGAAGCCAAACAGCGCGTCCAAGTCGACAACCAAACATATTCCTAAATCCCCGATCTCATAAGGCGAGGTGGCTAAGTAGTCATAAAGAATCCTGAGTAATAGTAGTAAGTTACAGCATTGATATTGAAGATGCAAGAATAATTTAATAACTAACAGCGAACCTTAAGGACGGAAGAGAGTGAGTTCCTTCTGCCTATTGATTCGTATATGCTTGCTAAACTGACGTAGAACTCTCGGACAGCTGATCTCTGAATATGGTTTCCAAAGGTTCATCTCCTTCGACTGTAGCAGAAGATAACGTATCTGCTCCATCTTCATTGTTACCGCCACCTGGCCGCAGCGGCCGTCGACGATCGCCCCGCTCCGATGTCGAAAAACTTAATATGGTGTGCAATTTCATGCGCAACGAATTCCGCTGGGGAGTTTCCGACTTCGTCAAGACGTTAGCTTTCTCCGATGGTTCTAACAATACTCGCCGGAAGGCTGCCTTTGCTGCAGCTGCATATAAAGATCCGGAAGTTCTGAAGTCCTACTTTGGCGATGTAGATCAACAGTGGGATGGTGGCAGGCAGTCTATTATTGAGATCTTGGATCTGGGCAACAATGAGTTACGAAGAGAGGTAGAAAGGCTAGGAGATCTGGCCCTATTTAACAAATACGATCCGGCTTCCAAGAGTGGTGGGTTTGACGCACTGGGTATGGATAAAATCCTGCACACAATACAGGAAGAGGCGCCTTTGTTGCTGCAGCTTATTAGGGACATCATGGCACCTAAAGCTCAGCAATATTATACGGCCCAAAAAGAGCCGGTTTCTCGAATCGTAGCAATCATGTCAATTCTCTGTTTTTCCCAGCGGAAAAACAGTCATACAGGTTTCCAGACGACTCTCGGCATCTACCTTCATTCCAAAGGTGTTAAACGCGAGCAAATTGAACTCCTCAGTCGTCTAGGCTTCATCACCAGTTACGGTACCATCATCAAAGTCATCAAAGAACAGCCAGACCGTTCCGCGGCGCAGGTGAAATGCATGGGATAGAGCGGCGCATCCGTAACTGCATACGACAATTTCGAGTTTTTCAGAGGGCATTAAAGAGCAGCGAGTCGATCATCAAAATACTTTCCATTCGGTGACAACAGGCCAGGCCATTCAAGGCATTGAGATGCCACCCGACGGATTGCAGCAGGATATGCTTAATCCCCAAGCGACAATATCCGCCAGCGATGTCTTCCTAGCCCCCGGGAATCAAAATGGCCATGTCCAAAATCAGGTAGGTATAAGGTAATCGAAGTATTAGTTACGTATTCCACAAGCGAGCCGCCATTACAAGCGAGCCGCCACCTCAACCTATACCAAACCACTTCAAGTACAGATTTCTCTACAACGCCAAATAAAATCAATTATTTATAATATCCAGTCTATTCTACAGTATCTTGCCGACCTAGAGGACATGTTTCAATACGATGTCCTACCTCACGACAGCGTCCACATCGCCTTCGACGCGGCGTAGCCCCATCCTGTAGGGTACGACTTTGACGTATTTCTTGAGAAATTTGGGACTCAATGGCGGAATGATTAATTAAATCCTCCCCCTCCCCAATAGTCAAAGACCCTCGCTCCTGAATCCGCTTTTTTTTCGTTGTCTTCGTTGCGTTGCGAGCTTGTTTGCCTTTCGAAGAGTCTCGTTTTCGCCCTTCAGAATCGTGAGCGAATGGACCATTGCCTGGGCGCCCTTGACGAACTGATCAAGCGCCTCATTGATTGGCGTAGGCGAGCTATTTTGATGGTTCGTAATACGGCCTTGAATTAGCTTCGATTGAGCCGTCAATTCAATAGCGTTGCTTGGTGTTTTCGTCTCCCATTGAGCATCCTCAGCGGCTGGAGTCGGAGTCCTTGGTCTGACGTCGAGCTTCGAAATCACTGCTTCTGGATCGTACGGAACTAGCCCTGAGCCTCGGAAGGCCCCACGGATATTTTTCTTCGTAAGAGCGGCTTCGTGTGCGGCTTTGAATGCTGGTAGGAACTCGAGTTTGGTGATATGGTTGATAGAGTTCCGTATCAAGCCCTCGATCTGATACCCGTACGCCTTCTTCAGTGGCCCAAAACAACCCACATCAAGCGGCTGGAGAATGTGGGACGCGTGCGGAGGCATACAAAGTGTAATAATGTTCTTCTCTTTACAGAATTCCTGGAATTGAAGCGAGTTATGGCTCTCATGCCCATCAATGATTAAGAGACGCCATGTTATAGATATCGTCCTCATGGATGCTGTACTTGGCGATAGTATTGCGTACGAGCTCAAACCAGCCCTTCATAATCTCTGGGTCCTCATTCTGGGCCCTCTGGTAGTCTAACCGTCGATTGAAGCGCATTTTGAGCCCAGGTGTCCTCTTAACAAAGTTTGAGGCCCAATTGACGCCGACGCGTCCGCTATCCCGAGCAGCAAGTAGCTTATTGGCCATATCTTCAACACCACCCAACCGGGGCCCAAATCCTCGCGAATCTAGGTCCAAGATATGTCGAATAATAACACTCTCCTCTAGATCCGTAAGTTTTCTTGAATTGGGCGTACAGTCGCGTCGTGAAAGGATTCCAGCGCGTCGATCTCTAAGAGTTGTTCTAGGGACGTTGAATATAGCTGCAGCTTGTAGATTGTTCTGAATTTGGCCTTGATCGGTAGCGTGTATAGCTAAAGATAAACGACCCTCTTTTTGAATAGATTGAGCATCAATTGATTGAGACATTGTTGTTTGTAGACCGAGTGTCGCGTTTTCTGGTTGAGGTGGCGGCTCGCTTGTGGAATACGTTAGCGCAGGGGACAAATAAAGGGGGGACAAATCTCAGCTGCCAAATCTCAAAACCTGGTGGGAAAATCTCACCAGCCTATAAAATAAAGATAAGATATTAATTTCTTCATCTAATTTGCGTAAGAACTGGTAGCGCACTTGCAACCTGCCAATAATGTGAGGACCAAAATTGCTAACCCGAGTTATGGCACATTGGCAGCTATTATCGACCACACTACTTGAGGCTCAAGCGTCCCACAGCACTAGTGTCGGGGCTCTCAAGTAGTCCGTAGTAATTGGGCTGGAAAAGAGGCAAACAATAATGGTCCGCTTACCATGTTTGCCTACTAGCACCGCTTTAAATCAGACGACATCGCATGAGTTGTTCGCAAAAGTTTGAATTGCTATCAGCATTCCTGCTTCATTTTCTGCGCAATGCCTTTCAACGCTTCTTCAGCCCACTAAGTATCATGGAGACGATCGCATGATTCAGCCTTGTGTGAGACGAAATTCATGTTGACTGGCAATGAACCGATATCTTGATTTGAGAGAACATGCTCCAACAGGTGAGATGTTTCATTCAGTTTTTCGAATTGTCGCTCCTATATTCAGACCCGAAAGAAGAGCGAGTATAGTACGCTGTCCCAGTATTGCATTGTGAAACCTTGACGGGGTGAACACCGCCCATTACACATAAACTATGTTCGCTTCGAAGTTAGCTTTTCATCCCGGTTTCACATATCCTATCGCATTGAGAGAAATACCATACTAAAGTTTTTTCGGAACCATCTTTTGTTCGTTCCAATTCCAATATCGTTCTCGTTGACAGCTAAGTCTATGCTTGTTCATTTGGAGTATCGGGGCGTCCATGTTCACGAGCTTGAGAATATTAGTTGACTATTAAGAAGCACTGTCTCACATATAGATGGCCTCACCGCGTCTATTCTGCATATATGATAGCCACCATCCAACTGGGCCATATATGGCAATCAGAAGAACGGCGATTAGTTGGATACACTCTCCTTTGGACAACGTATCTGAATTTTGAACCATGTTTGCACAACGTTTGGGTGAGATGTTGCAGTCGCTAAGAAGTTGACAATTGTTTTAGTTTTGTTGTGAAATGAGTTACGTTTTGATAAAGGATCCGAATAAGCATGGGGAATTGTGTGGGAATAGGAGGGGTGACAGTTGGGGAGGTGTGTTCATTCCCAATGCAAGTTTCGATTCCGAATTGGGACTGAAATCATCGAACGACAGCTCCTCCAGTACATAAGCCCAGAACGAATCATCTTACCTTGTTGCAGTTCGGCTCAGACTATCTAACCCGAATCTCTTTTTAGCGGCCCCGGGACGCTCGTACGCCGCGTATTGGTCGATGTGCCAATGACTGGTATCTATGCTGATACCCTCTACGAGACCTCCAGTCTTTCAATCGTTGCGCATGTCAGAGGATCGATGCCATTGGCTATTGTTGCCAGAGGGATTAACGATGTGCAGTCGTTCTCACGTTTCAATCCATTCTACCAGAAGAGTCTTGGTGCTGAACATAACTTTGATGGGCTTGTTGTCCGCCCCGAACCTAAAAGGACGAATTCTACCAGAACTATCTTTTACTCCGCTGAAGGGTGTGCTGTATGAACTCTCAGGTGGCTTGGCAATATCCTTGTGGCATGGCCTTTCGCTTCATTTCTCCAGTTCAAGATCGATGCGCGGGGCAGAGAAATCATCTTTGCCGTCCAAAAATTCCAAAATAACTCAGCCACCTGAGTCATAGTCCTCTACCGGACGATCACTGACAGTGAGGGTTTGATAGCAGTTCGCTTTTACAACCACAAACAAACGGTCGTTCTTGGCTCTAATCACTAAAGTCGATACATCGATTTCTGGAGCCCGTAATTTTGTCCTGCAGGAGCAGTTGCATGCATACAGGACATGGAGGTAAAGAGATTGGGTAGTGCTGACGACACATTCTCTGGCAAATGCGTAGATTAGATGGCCTGGACCATATGATTGGTCCAATGCGAGGGAAAGCAACAAACGCATTGAAACACGCGCTATCCCTAACTCGGATTCGAATTTATCGACTTTATCCCATGCAAACTTGCTAATTGCGGCTCAACTTCTCTATCGGATTTCCATTATTGGAATTTTTCACTCGCACCAGTTGCAGTGTTGTCATTCACGCAGCTTTGCAAGTCAACTGTAAATTCACCGAGTCTCTTTTCTGTCGGAGTTTGAAATTTGCTCCCTTCAGGTCACGAGAGTCTGTTTTATTTCCTCAACTATAAGCTACAGTGATGACCATGAACTCCTGCGAGCACCTCCTGGAACTCACCCTATACGATGCGGAGTCAACCTCCAACGACGAAAGCGCTCTTACACCTTGGTATCCCCAGGTGCAGCCACCCCTACTTGAGTATGGTTTGAGTTGAATATGAAAAGCGTATTTGATGTATCCACTGACACTCCAATAGGGAGCCTTCTTTTTTCAATGAAGCCTGGGTCTCTGATATTGTGGCTAACCAAGCAGCCAGCGAACCGGAAGTGTATCAAGATTCCGAGGCAAATATCGCCTCCAGCGCAGCCGCAATGACGGCAGTGGATTTGCCATCAATCTCACACGCTCCTCATGCAGAATCTCATTGCGGAAACAGAGCTTTAAAGTGCCCGGACGGGCATACAACCAGTAGCCCGATGCGCTTAAGCATGGTTTCCGAGGCGATGAGTGATCGTACGATCGATGCCGGGGGCCAAGAACTTCTGGCAATTAATGGAAGCATGCAGATGTCCTTGACCGTCTCATCGCCCTTGAAGAATAGTACAGCGCTCAGCTACGGCCTAGAAGAGACGATGCCAACACAGGATATGGATCAATTACCAGTTCATTCTATACCAGCATCGCCACGCGTCACTTTGTCGACTGCTGATTTTGACGAAGCGTTCCAATCTTGCGCTTTGGCTAATTACGTATCCGACCAAGGGTTGATACCAAATGACCGAACCATTGAGATATCAGGCTCATGGTCTGGCGTTTATTCTCCTGCTGGAATCGATGTGACTCAATCATTCACCCCAGTCTCAGATATTCGGTCTTTAGACAGCTGTGCAGCGGAGACTAAATCATCACATCAACGATTAAAGAGGTCGCATCCGACTTCTGGCTTTTCGTGGCATGTATCAAATCCCTCACATCCATCTCAGGCGTCATTCCAAGAAGAATCATCCAATCTACTGAATACGAAAGGGACCGGCGGTGTCTTGCCTGGGGATGAGCCCCTTCAATCAACAGCATCAACGAAGAAAGCAAAGACGAGCGTTGCATACGCGAATAATTGCACAGAATGGCAAATTTCCGGGTACACAAGTGAGCATCACAGTGTAGCTGTTACTAGCGGAAAATTGAAAAATGCTACCAAGTGTGCTCGGTGCAAACATGACAAGCAACCAGTACGTGTATGCCCTATTTCATCGGCTGCGGATGCTAACACGGTCTTGGTAGTGCTACAATGGCTTCCCATGCGACCGCTGTAGACCGTACCTCCAAAGACGCCAGCAGTCTATCAGGAAGGTACACTGGGCCGGTTGCTATGTCAGCGAACTTGTCATGCTCAACCCACTGCTAGTTTTCGGTAGGCCTCCTTAAACCTCGATCTGATCTGCGACTAAGTATATCCTTTATCAGTTGATTACAACAATACGCTATTGGGAACTCTTGACGAAGCAATCCTCACGATTGCAGAGCTACAAGGGTGGGAATATAGACCGAGAAAGTCCCCTAGTAATGCACAAACACGCTTGTCAGGACTGCTCCGGACAATTGCTATTCAAGGGCTGGAACGATTCCCTGTTCTGGCAAACGGCTCAAAGCAGAATCAGACTGCCGGACCTCACGATGTTGAGGTTGAAATTCCACTGGGATTCCGCATGTCCATATTTCGAAAATATGTTGGCAAACATCACCTTCCCGACCGACGAGCTTTCTACGTGGCACCAGAAATGTCCTTGAACCCCACGCAACATTTTGCTCTAAGTCTTGTTGCGTGCCATTGGTCGCTGAAACTACTTGAGGACGTTTTTGCAAAGGCACAGAAAGACCAACAGTGGACTCAAGATAGAGACGCGGACTTCGTGTATTCGGCCCTGTCGTTTAGCGGGACAATATGCGACCCTTTTTTCAACGGGTTGCATGACATGAGGTATCCTCCAAGCCCGTGTACGTCTCAGCGTTATATATCCGATACTCTCCTGTCAAAGTTCAAGCAGCAGACAGCATACGTCTTCGATTACGTGAAATGGAACTTGCGTACTCGTCCGGAGTCACTTCAAGCATGGAACGGTTTCTTCGGACTCAGGGGCAAGGGGTACTGGGGAGTCAACAAAGGCAGCTTATACAACTCCTTCCACAATGTGGGTAGAACGTAATGGACTCAAAAGTTACCATTGGCGGAAAGCGTTTTCGGATTTGTTATATTATGTATGACTTAGATTTTGCTTACACACACAGCCGACGCAAGCTCAGCGTTGGATCGCTGGACTACGGTCTCATCGCATGATGGCGTTTCTGGGAACGGCGGGGAAAATAGGTTAGTTAATGTTTCGGCAAAGTAACATTCATACATTCACCTGATAATTTCGCCTTGCGTCTGTACCATATTACTCTGAATTCTGATAAATGAGTAAACTCTGCTGTACATCTCTCCTGGCTCTAGAGCTGCCTTCCAGTCTTACTCTAAGCCACATATGCTAAATGGAGCTTCCGGCAGATCATTCGGTTAATGAGGAAGAGAACCGCAAGCGGATCGCCTCGAAAAGATCGAAAATCTGGTTTAAGAAATACATACTTCGCACACTTCAGTATCCTCTGCTTGATCCCTTTGGGGCTATATTGTAATCATATTGATCTTCACTGGTATGAGTTGAGATCCTAACACAAGGCTAGGCTAGGACCCAATAAGAGTTAGACGCGCAAGACACTCTGATCTAGAAGGCAGCTATATATGTGTTCGTGTTGAGTTTACCAAGGTCTATTACTTCTTTCCGCCACCAGAGTATCGACCAAATTGTTAGTTTCGACGAAACTTGCGGAGGTCTTTAGTGGTTGAAAGGGTCACAATCCCGTTTTCGACAAACACATTCAGGTGCTCCGATTCTTATTGCAATTCAGAGGGTCCCATTCATGGTAACGAGTTTGTCTCTTCTCTCGCTATCACTCAACAGTAGGATCGATACGTTATTAAATAGATGCAAAGTCTATCGACGGGCTAATCGACCTGGAATGAAGTGTCACGGTCCCTGGTCAATTACGAATCCTTGGCTCCTCCTGGTGCTTGGGAAATGGAATTTGACATCTCCAATCGTTTCTCTATCTCCCTTACGGTCGTACAACTCCCCAACCGATTGCTTCTGTATCATTCCCCGACCCATTACCCCTGAATTAGGCCCTGCCTCATTGCTCCTGTATCATTCCCCTGAATACATATTCTAGATCCTACTTAGCAAAGGCCGATATGGGCGCACTAGCTCCGACTGCTGGGTGCTCAGCCAGAGGCTCTGGCAGCAGTCTATCCTCGTATACAGTACTAAAACGTTGCAAAAGCACATATACTACGCGATATACATCCCTACCACCGTTCACCAAGCTGAGTTCCATACGTGCCATCCTTGGGGGCTGAAAACCATCTCGTCGTGGCGATTCCGCAGGCCCCAGACCGTCTGGGTCTCGTGAGACTCACGGGGGGAAAAACCTAACTAGGAGATCTCCTACTTGCGGTAGGTCCTGACTAAGCGTTAAAAGCGATCTAAAACCCTTCATCCAACGAGCTCGTTCCCTTAGGCATAGAGGCGCGACGGGGAGGTCACGATCGAGAACTATGCTCCGTAAAACCCCTATCTCCGTCCGTTACGCCACTATATGTCGGTGGTCGGTATCCCCTTTCCTCCACAGCCGTATCTTTGTGATCAATTTCTTGCTTGTCCGTGGGCTACGATAGCCGTGGTTCGTGGTTCTTTTCGAGCGGATAACAGTCCTCGCTTAGGGGAAGAGTATTTCGGTAACCGGGTGTAGATAGGCTGTATTTCAACGTCGTGATCGATCGTTGAGACTGTCTTAGCTTCACCCTTCGAGAGGCTACTAGACCCAACCACCACGATGAGGTACAGTCCCGTGGTTGTGATGTTGGTGCTTGGTCGGTGTTATTGCTGTTTGTGGATCTGCGACGAAAACTGTTTGCGCTCTGTACCTGTCAGGGAACGGCCCGTATGTGGGTCCCAGTTTCCCGTGTTTTTTGTGGGAAGTCGAGGTGGACCTTCCTCTTTCATCAAACTCACTGAGTTTCGGTGACAACCCTCTTAATGTCCGAGGAGATGGATGCGATGTCTTTTCCGGCAAGGTAGCTACCGGACGTACTGGTATGTCAATTCATCCGATCTTGAGTTGTAATCGAGTTACAACTGGTTGTAAATGCGCTAACGAACTTTGGTGAAGTTTGATTGGCCGGAACCGAAGATTTTGATGCTTTAGGCCAAAATGTTGATGCCTTGAAATTATTTTTCACAACTTCTACAGCGTTTTGTTGCCTCGTTGCCTTAGGCTTAATATTATCAAATAGTTTATACGCTAACCTTATATAGAGATATTAACCGCTTTTTCTGTGGAGTTGTAAATCGAGTTGTAAAATGGTTTTCGAGGTTGCAAAACCTCTCCAATGATCAGCTGAGGTGACACGTGCCGCCAGCCCCCCGCTAATAGTTTGACCGCCGTGCTAACCTCTTTAGGTACTAAGCTCTATTGCAGTACTCCATACGGAGTACTCCGTACTACAGAACAAAATTATATTGCCAACCAGCTTAGCACCGTAGCGTTCTTATCAATCTCCTTTGCCACTTCAACTTTCGAGACTGATAATAATACATATATTATCACTTTCAACCCTCACACTTTCAGCCATAAGGACGATGGCAGAGCAACAAACTAGGGCGAAGCTCCACACTCCAAAGACCAGCTGACATCAACAATCGTGCTCTTATCTTCTTTGCTGTATCTTGACATCGAATCCTGATGGAAACACAAACCATATATTCTCCATCTTCCACTCGGGTGTCATAAAAGTCATCTACGGTGCCACATCATTAGTGAAATCCATCTATCAGAGGAGGAACAAGGGACTCACATCATATTTTCCGACTAAAGTTCCCACGACCTTATACAACTCCATCATGGCGACACTCTTTCCGGTACAAATCCGAGTCCCAAAACCAAATGTGAGCATCAAGCTCTTCATCCGGCCCAACCTCCCCTTCCACGCTTCGTCCGACTCTCCGTTTCTCGGCATCCACCGCTCCGGCACAAATTCGTCCACATCCTCAGGACCGAATGTCTTCTCGTCTCGATTGCTCACCCATGAGTTCATCCCAACTTTCGTGCCTGCCGGGATAAATGGGCCACCGTCCGGCATCTGCCAACCACTAGCGGGAACGACACGTTCGAGGGGCAGTCCGATAGGAGGATGAATTCTCAAACCCTCATGCACGACGGCATCAAGGTATGGAAGGCGGCTTGTGTCACGATACGAGGCAGGAAGCGTACCATTGACCTTCTCGACCTCCAATTCATTCCGGAGCTTCTCGAGAATCCGCGGGTTGCGGTAGACATGGTAGACGATCGCAGCCAAGGAAATCCCCGTGTTGTCCGACCCGGCCACTAGGTTCACGAAGAGATAATTCACCACCACGTCGTCGTTGCTGACGATATCGGGGAATGAATCTCGCGCCCCGAGGAAGAGATCGAGGAAGTCCGAGGACCCGGGGGACGTGCCTTCAGCCTCGTGCTTTCGCTTGCGTTCGGCCACGTCAGCGTAGGCTTGTTGGAAGGCCCAGAGGAAGGGCGGGGGACCGAGAAACGGCTTCATCAAAGGGTTCTTCATCAGGAAACGGTCAAGCAAGGGCATGTTCACGCACTGGAGAACTGTCAGTGCCGTATTCTCGTCCGAAGAAGGGGGAACGATACCAAGCCAAAGTAGATCAAACCGCCATATGCGTCTTTGATGAAATTCCCGACATCGCTACCTGTCTCGAGATAGCCGCGATGATAGCCAAAGGTGAGCTTATGGAGGCAGTCGTATGCAACTAATGGGTCGGCGTAAGTACTTTCGTCATTCTACTGCACGAGCGATGCATATTACACCAAAGCAACCATTTCTCCATTGGAACTACGACGCCTTCGCTCGCCATTTGGTCTAGCTTGGAGCAGAAAATCTCGATCGTCTCGTCCACGGCCGGCTCGAAGGCGAGCGTTTTGGTAACGGTGCCAATGTTGCGCAATGGCTTCACCATCTTGGTGTGCCACGCTTGATCCGTCGTGTTGAAGAGATTGGAGGTGACGACGCCATCGACGACAACATCGTTCGATGCATACATATCGCTCTATACAATAGTTACTCAGCGATCATTCGGAGATTCAATTTTGCTTGGCACGAGGTGCTTCAGGCATCGTTTTCGATGCTCACCTTGATCCATGGCGTCTTACTGGAGTAGACGACGTTGATCAAGTTCGAATCGCTCAAACTGATCATATTCGGTCCCAGCCGTACAGCAGACCCGAAGCGGCGGTGCAGTTGGATCAGCGTCAGTTGCGCATGGCCCGTCCACCAGCTCCCGACCCGCCACAGATCGGAGATACGGGCGAAAAACGGGCCGGGGACATGGCGGAGTGGTGACCTTAAGTAACTCCAGACACAGGACGACACAAGGGCGACAGTAGCAAGCAAAGCCAGGCGAGCGAGCAGCCCATCAGGGAGACCTGGAAGTGCATCCATGCTGTGGTTACACGAAAAAAAAAGGGGAGCCACAGATGGATTCGGAAATGCGACTTTTCGTGCTTTATCACTCCCATGATCCCATCCGCTCCTCGGAGCCCCCCAAACCTCCCTCCAATCATCACCAGTCACCAGTCGCCCCATAGCACTTGAGTCAACATCGGCGATATGAGCTAGATACCTTACTCGCTAGCAACAAACCACAGTACATAAGCTTCTGCACTATTTTCTCCCCGCAGCAGCCCGCCCATTCCCTTGAGCTTAGCGTCAGACTAATGGAGCCGACCATGACCTTGGTCGTCATTGGTCCGCATGATGATCCTTCGTTACCCTCGCCTCCTCTATAAAAATAGGGCCCCGCGTATCTCTCTCTATCTTGACCCTCTCCCGCTCTCTCCCGCAAGTCAATCCATCCGATATATCTCTTGCGAGTCTTGCGCCTACCATGACTGAAGCCGTATCTAAATCGCCTTCTCCGGCGGCCCCGGCAGATCGGCCAACCGCTACCATCGAAGAGGCTGCTGACGTTGTAGCCGTTGAGGTTGGCACCGAGGTATGCAACATCGCTTTGATCTGCGACGCTATTGTTGTTTCCCAACATTATTGGTTGCATCCATTGGTCGATATTTCTGCGTTTGAACTCTCCATTTGTACGAGTCGAAGTTGTAATGTGTTTCTGATTTTGAATATAGGTAGACTCTGCGATCGGAGACGACGGGTAAGGCTACGAGCCGCCCTCAGCACAGTCCGCTATTCCGGCAGACTGTCCTCTCAATAGAAGTACTGACATTTTCATCGTAGAGCAAGCGAGACCACCTCGCTTGCGTCTTCGATTCTAGAACACACATTTGAAAATGGTCGCCGATACCACTCATACAAGTCGGGCAGTAGGCGACCACCATTGCCAGTAGATGATCCTTTCTTTTGATTGATTTGAACCAGAATATATCATGCCAGATGACGATGACGAGCTAGACCGGCTGGATATTCATCATCATATTGCTCTACTCCATCTGAACGGCGAGCTTCACCTCGCACCGATTGGCGAGAATCCGGGAGCAATCCTCGACGTGGGAACTGGAACAGGAATCTGGGCAATTGATATGGGTGAGAAGGGACTGTACAGAACAGATTGTCTTGAGTGCTTCTAATTCTTACCTGAATAGGTGACAAGTATCCAAGTGCGAAGGTATAGGCCCTCCCCAATGCATGCTTAGTTTACCTATTAACTCATATTCCAGGTTACCGGAGTCGACCTCAGCCCAAGACAACCTTCCTGGTGCGTCTAACTGACAATTTCAAGTAGTGCCATCTAACGTGACGAGGGTCCCACCAAATGTGCAATTCGAGATCGATGACGTCGAGGACGAATGGAATTTCCGCGGCCAATTCGATTTCGTCCATTGTCGATACCTGGCCGGCTCCATCCATGATTGGTCTAAGCTCATTAAACAGTGCTTTCGGTAACTCTCCCCGTAACATCTATCCGGTGCCCCCCCTCGCATCTAAGCACCCATGTATTTAAGTTGACCTTAACAGACAACTCAATCCTGGTGGTTGGGTTGAGTTCAAGGACTGGGACGTCCGTCCTTACTCCCCCTCCGGCGAACTAGGAAAGCTGCCCGACAATGCCGTCAAAGCCTGGCACGATGTGGTGATGGAAACATGCGGAGATTACTATGGCGCGACGCCAACTCCCGCCCTCATCATCCCGGACATCTGCAAATCTACAGGTTTCACCAAGTTGGAAAATCATGTTTTCGAAGTGCCCTCCGGCAGCTGGCCTAAAGACAAGAAGAAGAGTTTGGTTGGCCAGTACTACGGAACTACCATGCGCGAGGGGGCCGCTGCGATGAGCATGCGGCTCTTGACGGCATTCCGGGGCTGGGATCCGAAGGAAGTGGATGTGCTGAACGCGAAGTTCCGTGAGGACATGAAGACGACGTACTTTTACCACAAGTAGTCAGTCTCACCGTTCGTCCGGCGGTTTTGGCCGTTACTGACCGCACTCTAGTCATATCATTTATGCTCAGAAGCCCCTCGATACCCCGGAAACGTGACCTAGTACGAAAAGGGCTTATTTGCACTCGCTTATCCACCCGAGACGTAATTCGGGTCCGTCTATATGAGACTTCAGCCCTTGCATCGATTCCCTATAGCCCGTTACCCAGAATCCTATAGACAGAGGGTTGCTATCGACTACGAAGGCGAAGGGTTTACATCATGAGAGGATGACTGGCGCTGGAATGCCGAATGCTTTATTTTCCTCATATCCATAGATATGGGGTTAGTCTGTTTATAGCCCTATATCCCAGGGATTTAGCAACACCATCATTTAACGTCAAACTACTAACTATAGACCCACTTTCCGCGAGTCCATAGATCCACCAAATCGCAAACGTCTCCTAAGAAAATGCTTTTGGGCAATGCCGGCAACGACGGCAATGAAACGAGCGAGTTTCCACCAAGCCAAAACCCCTTCAAATACGGCATTAAAATACTGCCGTTTTTTGGGGGCAAGTTCAGTAGCACTCAATGTTATTCATATAATATCAGAATTGACTGAAGGTGGCTGATGTATTGATGGGAGTTCAAATGCGAAGGGATTCATTAATCCTAGGCTGCCTATACATACCCATACAGAATAAGCTTCCCAGTATTATTTAGATACGATGTTCATAAGGCTTCAGTGTGCGATTAATTCCCCATCCGTTTTAGATCTAAGTTAAAGTACTAACTACTAACTTGCAGTGCTTCCACCGATAGCTCTGATAGGTTTGATACGATTATCGGGTATCGGGGCTTCCTGACACCGATTATCTAATAATACCCGATAGTTTACGCATGTATCGTTATTTTAAACCCCAGCCCTCACAATCGTCGTGATATTTATAATTATGAATAGAAAATAGAAAATAATCGAATTAAACCTTCTCTTCTTTATGCTAGTCTAAGTTAAATAAACACTATCGTACGATAAGGAAATCTGTTCTTCTAGAATTTTACCTTTAAAATGCCCTGGCTCTTCCAATCCTTCATACACTCCGTCTTCTCAATCATCCCTGGACTCGTTGATGCGCGCTCCCATCCTACTCTACGTCGTCCGCCTGAGAAGATTCTCTCTGGCTTATCGCTCATCGCTGGTATTGAAAGGATTTCAATAGCAAAGAGTGAGAGCCGTGGCCATCTCTGTTGTTGAACTTCGTCTGTCCACCACTTGATTGATGGTCTAGAGATACCGTACGACGGTGTTTCCGCAAGGAAATTCTCAAGCTCATCCTGGCTCTGTGGGCGAAGCTGTCTGTCCTGGTAATCGCGGCGAAGCTTCTGAAACGAATCGAGCTTTCTGTCGTCCGGCTGAGTAATTGACTGTCCAGCTCTTTCTTTATCGGATGACCTTGCTGCAACAACTGAAGGTAGTATTTCTTTGCGCCATTTCCCCCAGAGTTGCTTCACTTTCCATAGGGTTTGCTGCGACGCCGTTGAAATCTCTCCGTTCTTATCTTGTAACCATGTCGTACGCCTCTCTGGGTGGAGAATTCGCGCTGCGGCATAGTATGGAGATCCCCCTAGCTTCGCGGAATAGTCCTTAAACTTTGTAAAGGAAGATTGAACTCGAGTAAAAATTTGCTTCAAAGCTTTATCCTGCTTCATCTCGTCCTAAAGAATTAATAAAAGAATACTTCTTTGGATCGTACGACTTACCAGAGTCTTTTCAAAGAAACCTTCAAGAATGTCCATACTTTCCAGAACCCGTTCAAGCGTGACTTCGTCTCCTTGTAAGAAAAGAGTTGCCCCATCGAAAACTTCAAGAAATGAGCAAATCGTACGGAGTTGTATCCAACCTTCAGTACTGATTAGATCCTTTTTGTCAATTGAGCCCTGTTCATGGTACATTTCCATATACTTTTGAAGTCCTGGTCGTACAGAATCGGAAAGCGCCACCTCGAACATCCGAAACCAGCTATTCCATCTCGTACGATTATCAAGAGGAATTGATCTCCCAATAAGCCTAACAAGCTCTTTCATCCGACCTCCTGATTCTCGGCTGTGTACGACAATATTATGGAGTTTTCCCATTACTCCCATTCTGTTCCGAATATTATTCGCTCGATCCTTCTTCTCCTTCTCTCCTAATTCTTCCCCTTCTTCATCTTCTTTATCGTACGATTTCATGATATCCTCGTCGTCTTCTTTTGAAAAAAGAAACGCTTGGACGACGAGATTGAGAATGTGGCCCTGGCAGCGAATCCGTTGTTGTGTGGCACTCCACGAAATCTTATACTCGAGAGAAAGATGCTGGCTTATCTCGTGACAAAGAGTATCGTTTGTTGTTGCATTGTCGCCAACAAGAGCACCGACACTCTGGGTAATTCCATAGTCGTCTAGTACAGGAAGTAAGACGTCAAACTGTCCCTTGCCGCTGTGGTCATGTATCGTACGAAGAGCAATCAAAGTATTCTTGAGATGGTCCTGGTCGTCCACAAAGCTAGCGCAGATTGCAAGCAAAAGATGTCGATTCGGAGAGGTCCAGACATCGACAGCAAGGTGGATCTTTGTTTTGGCAGATTGAAGTACTTTTCGTACGATATCTTGTGCCTCCGGAAAGGAATCCGTGATCCATTTTGAGACAGTAGAGGGGGACGTAGGAATAAAGGTATTTGATTCCCGGTTGAGTGCGGAGCAGAAAGCATGGAATTCGGGCCATTGAACAATCGAGAAGGGGAGCCGTCGTACGATCACTAAGTCCAGAATAGCTTTCTTTAGAACTTCCTGATTGATAACCTGTTCTAGAACCTCTGTATCGATCTCCGTAGTGCCCCCTCCCTTTGCTAGAATAGCTTGGTATAGCTCAACAACTGCCTCCTCTCCAGCGATTTTTGCCGCACGACGTATACCCGTAGGAGACTCGATATCATGCTCTTTTTGAAGATGTAGCCGAAGCCCAGCTGTTGAACTCTTCGCTGTAGTAGTGCAGTAGTTGCAATAATATAGGAGATGTCCGTTCTTGTCGTACGCTGGTTCACCGTCTTTTGGCTCTCGAGTATGCTTATGGATCGGAGAGGATTTCTTGCGCGAATTGGTGGTAATGGTTGAATTTTCAGACTCAAGAGAATTTGAAACACTAGATAAATCGAATATAGAGCTCATTATGCTGTACGTGGTGATTGAGACGTAAATAATATTCTATGATTTCTATCACTTGAAGCATTTGGTGGGCGGCAGGGCGCTAAGGAATTATCGGGTAATATTACAGGATAATCGGTATCGGCGATACCGATTATCGTATCAGATTACCCGATAAAAATTATCGATGGAAGCTCTGTACTACTAAGCCAGGCTTGCGGTTGATCGCCTTGATCTTACCTCAGCAAGCTCAGGCTATTTGTGGTCGTGCCAAGGCACCGGAGCGGACTATACCTAATCGGTAAGTCACATGTGCTCCTCGAACAAATAGCTTACCTCAGCAAGCTCAGGCCATTGTGGTCGTGCCTGAGGCAACGAACCGCGCTATACCTAATTGGTATGGTCCTCGACCAAATAGCCTGAGGATTCTGTCATTGATTTTTGGCCTGAATCGAGATCGTTTGTATGAGAGCAATTTAATCACATCAACCTCGTTTTCCTCCACAACGAGCTATCGCACAGTAAAATTGACTCGTTCAATCGAATCCTCTATCGTTTCTTGATAACCCAGTGAATTTTGGACGATGTCAGATCGAACCTCCTCTCGGCGCAGCGTACGACTGAACCCAACGCCTCTAGAGAGCAGAGAACAGCCACGAACTACTGCTTCGACTGCCGATGTCCATCGTAGACGCGCCAGATCTCGAGTATGGACGTCAGAAAAGCGAGTGAACGACATATGCAAATACATGTCCCAAACACACCACTTGACGCTTGCCGAGTTCATCCGAGTGTATGTAACAACTCAAGGTGGTGACGGCTACGGAGATCGACCTGCGACGCGTGCCAAACGCCTTGTAGACGCGATATACACTCAACCAGAGGTGCTAGACGCAATACGACAACATCCTGCGTCTGGTGTGGGAGGAATTGTCACCGTGAAGGCACTAAGAAAAGAAATGAAAGCGCTGGAAGAAGCCGGAGGTATGTTTAGTGCCTACCAGGTCCACCGCGAACGAGAAAAGTCTCTACAGGCCAGTATTGGGCGGGAGGGGCGGTCTGAAGATGGCCAGTCTGAAGATGGCCAGAAACCAGAGGACTACGAGTGCATACTCGACGACTTGCGGTTCGGCTGGATGTATGAGCAAGTTAACACTCATGCTCCTCTTCTATGTGGACTGCTCGACGGTCTTATGGCGCCCAAGATAGAGAGGAAAGATCGACCACCACGAGATCCTTCTAAATTTAACCACAGGACTGCGATAATCACGTCGATCCTCTGCTATTCTCGGGCGTCGGAAGGGAGCAACAAGTTTCCCCGCGTATTTGGTGCCTTTCTACACTCCAATGGCGTGAAACGTCGGGTCCTCGACCTTTTTCACCAATTTGGGGTTTGTGAAGGCTACAAGGCAGTCCACAGACATCTTGAAACCGTGGCAGAACAAGCGAAGGCATCGTCACCGTCCCTCGGAATGGATTTCAACTAACCGTACGTAGGGGACGGTCCGTCGATACGGCCAGCTGCTGAACGCCTGTGTTGTCTACGATAATTTCGACTATCGAGAAGGTGTTAAGCACCAGCTCATTTCAAACCATGCAGAAATGCGCTCGGTAACAACGGGGAAAGTTTTCAGAGGCGCCGACATTCCTCCAGGTGGATTAAGGAAATCGATGCTACACCGTGAGACTCCACTTTCAATAGAGGACCTTTTCTACTCTCCCGGCGCCGCCATATACGACGAGACTGCCTCCAAGATTGACAGCTACTTCATAGCGGAGGCGATTCGGACAGCATATCCAAAATCGGTCAAATCTATCTTCTCTAATTCCGACATCCCATTCCCGGCTATGCCAACCGTCGAGTTACTTGAGCTTCGAAAGACAGATAGCAAGACGCTCGGTCCGATTCTCTTCAACGAAGGTACTCTAGATGGCTCCTACGAGGTTATAGAGAGCATCTACAAGCGCCAATTCCAACTAGATAGTAAAGAATTCGACAACCGTCTGTTCTTGGCGTTTGGCGATCAAAAAACCTCTTCACTCATCCGATCTATGCAGGCTGAGCAAGTCGACGCGTCTATATCGTATGATAGAAAAGACTGGCTGATAGGAGTCGCTGCTCTCTTTCACCTGCGCATGAATTTTCTATGGCTCATGCAAAAGACACATTACGGAAACATGGAGCAACAGGACGCTTCAACTCTCTATCACAACATCAACTTCTGGGGACGAAAGAATATTCCAGCGGACCGTGCAGCTTTTCAGGTTCTAGAAGAGCTGGTGCTTCACAGTTTCGACGCTCGAGTTATTGGACTACTTTATACTCGCCTCGAGCAGTACGGCATCGATACCTCCGATCAAGAGGAGGTTGACAAGGCAATTCAGAACATGAATACTAGAGGCTT